CAGACATTTCTGCCTGTGGGCTCAGATATTTCACTGAAACAGCGAGCTGTGGATCGTTGGATCTGAATATATACTCAATCAACCCTACAGCAGTTTAACCAACCTGTTGGCTCGACGGTGCGGGGAGCGGCGAAGGGGATGTCCAAACCTATGTGTCTGAAACTAACTGGCTTCGACGGCTCCATTCTGTATGTATGTCACTCTATCTTCGGTGGTTTTTATCTGCCGGCGGGCCTGGGACCTGTACTTCCTTACTCCTCTCGGTTCTGTTTTTTGCCTCGCACACATACATCCCCTGTGAACACAGGCAGGCGGAAGTGTGAGCGTCCGTGGAAAATGCCGACGGGAGTGTGAGCGATCGCATCGAATGCTGCAGCAAGTACGTGCTCTGATATATCTCCCCACCATCGGATACAAGATCCCGGAACACAAACAACAGCAGCACCAACCAGCACCAGCCACCGGTGCCCTCTCAGCTCCCCCCTTATGTAGCTTACAGCCTCACCCTCTTGTCCTCTCAACTCTTTCTTTCCACGCCTCTTGGTATCCATCATCAATACATACATAAATACGAAGCAGCATGCGGTCTCGCTGCTTGCTTGTTGTTTTCTTCGCAGGTGCGAGATGGTACCGCAGACGGCAGCGAGCAGCAGCCATGCCCACCTTTTCCCATGAAGGTGCGCAACGAACAAAATGAACCCCGTTCGAAACTTCAGAACGGCGGGATAACCGCTCGGCACCATCGCCGGTCACTGTTTACTCTATTATTCATCAGTCGCGTCATTTCGTTCACCTTCCTTCGTTTCATTTTTTCTTACAAAAAAGGAGTCTTCTTTGTTTCTATTGGGGACCACAGCGCACGGTTGGTGGAAACCGAGCTTGGTAACTCATACAGACAAGAGCCCAACGTGTGTATGTGCTCTGAAACATACAAGGCCAAATCATGGTAAGGTCTGCAGCCAATAAGCGCCACATCGGTGTGTGCCTGCCCTGCTGCCTAACTGCAATAATGCTGGCCAGTGGCCCGGGCGAGGCTTTCGTGTGCATGCACCATCGATCGATGTGGATTCCTTACTTTTGCCTACTACTTGATGCGATGCAACAACAGCAGCTCACACACACACGTTCATACTAATTGAAATGGCAGAACTCCAGGCAGTTGTACGCTGTAGGCGACAAACATTCATTTTGGTGAAGTGTGGGACAGGGGATGATGCTGCTGCTGTATGTAGTCGAATGTAGTGTGTGGACGGGTAGTTAGTTCAGTTTTGGGCACGCAAACGTGCTGCAGGGATGTATAGGTGTACCTCTTCGGGCTCGTGTACCTTCTTTTTTCTTCCTAGTTTGCGTGTTCGTTAGATCTTCTGATGGCTCTATACAGCATTTTTGAACCACGGACCGCGCGTCTTTGCTAGATTTTGGGATTAGCAACTGGCACGAGTTTAATGTCTAGGCAACAGCAACAACAACTAAACAGATGCATCGGATAATTATACCGTCGGGAGCTGCGCGCATGCCAAAAGCAGGTGCAAAGCGATTTTTCTCCTCTCTGTGTGTTTTGGGTGCATGTATGTGCACACAAAAGCAGACTTTGTTTGTAATTCGCAACCCTTCTTTGTTTTGGTGATATGCATATCTATCTTTGTATGCACTACTACTACTGCTGTTGTTACGTATCTGTCTGTCTGGTTTGTGTGTTTTTCGCAAGCCACGTTGTTTATATATTTCCGTTCTGTTCATTTTTTTCTGGCTCCAGGTGATTATTTGCCGGCAACAAGCTCTCGACACAAGACACAACACACACACACACAAACGGCGGCATCATCTCCTCTGCTTTGCTTTGGGTGCGTACACGAGCGAGCGCACTACTGCTGTTTCTGCGCCTCCTGCATCGGGTAGTAGACCGGCGGACCCAGTGCGTACATCCTCTATCTTTGAGCGATCTCTGTTAATCCGGGGAGAGGAGAAGAGACTGGTCCGTTTGCGGACATTGGGCGGCAGCATTGGCTGGCGAGAAAAGGTGAGAAAAATATCGGGTTTGGTGACACCATACGCCCGACCCTACATAGCTCCCCCTAACGTGTTGCCCACGCCAGCACCCAACACCCTCGCGCGGCTCGGGTTCGTCCAGACGTTCTTGCTTCCGCAGCAGGGTGTGCGGCGCTCCCTCCTCCCGGTTCGTGCGCCGGGACAAATTGAATATAGAGTGAGGCAAGAGGCAAGCGAAAGCGCGCGTGAGTGAGAGACATATTTCCACAAGTATGACGACATTTTTATGTAGGTGGCGCAACAACGGAGCGGAAAGGATGGCATCAAGATTCATCTCCTTTGATTGCTTCTGGTGGCCTCTGGTGACCTCTTCTATGCCCATCGAATCCTCCTCCCCCCCATCCGCGCAGCTAGGCAGGTCGGTAGAATAGCTCGCAGTGCCCACACCCTCGTTGTTTTTACATTCATGCGGCGGGACGTCGCGTGTCGATCTCCAGGCGATGTGTGCTGATGCTGCTGCAGCTGCAGCTGCGTCGGTCCATCGATCTTGCGCTCAGGAGAACGAAAGAGAAGTATTCTTCAAGTGTTTCGGATACCCCTCAAGCGAGCGACATCGTCACGGTAGTTCATTCGCATTCGGAACGAACGGTGTCTGTCCTCGTCTGTCTGTCGTATTGACCTGTGCAGATGTTCGCAGAGATAGATAGGAGGGTACTGAGGGCAGAGACTGGACCGCAGCGAGCGACAAGAAAGTTACCACACACGCCGAGAATAATAATGACCGATTCAGCATTTTCGCTGGTGGTACTCGTCCATATAGTACATGGTAAATTGTTTCCGTCAGGAGAAGTCAGGAACGGGTTTTGTGTTGGAAAAAATCAATCAAACGTTTGTTGGGCGGTATCAGTTTTCTCCAATCTCCGATTTGTCCGTAATTTTTGTTGTGTGACTGCCGCCGCTGCTGCTGCTGGTGTGCCGTGCTTGACTCATGGATGTGGTATATTTGCGTGTGCCGTGAAGATGTTTGTTGAGAATTGGCATGGGTGTGGTTCTGCACAAACCAACCTGTGGCGGTGTTATTGCACGCTAAAAGGGGTATGTATGTGTGTGTGTGCGGTCGACGGGCTACATCATCAGATCAGTGAGTGAGGAAATCACCTCTCTCTACACACCACACAGCAACCATGATGATCCCTACCAAATGCAGCGTTTTGGTTGGTATTTGTGTATCTCATATCATGTTGTCTAGTGAGTGGCGGGAGAAGAGGGATCGGGCCAACAAAACCCTAGCCAAATCAAACGCGTGTGCACCACTCGCAGGCGCAGGCAAAACAATACGAGAATCGAACGGAGACCAGACAGACGGGCGACCCAGTAGACCGAGACAGAAAGACGGAGACAGACCCCGATACCTGGAGGAAGGTGGAACACTACTGGTTTCGGAACGCGCTCTTCCCCACCCACCCACCCACCGTACACTCACAGCAAGCATGGTGTACGTGGCCCACACGTGCGCTCATGTGGGCTGCTCGAAGCGGCCCACGTACGGCATCAAGGCGACCCGTAAGAGGTGAGACCTATACAGGAGGCTGTCGGAGCAATACAAATATGCATATTGACTACAACACGAACGACGAACAAGCGAAAATCGTCAATTTTTTCAGTTTCGGTGGCACACACATTCAGTATTTGAACAGAAGTATCTTCATGCACAGCGGCTTCGAACACGAAGTGTAGTAGAATAGAATACAGGGGTACGCCGTTTCGGTTGGCAATAGAGTCTGTACGGCCACGATGTACGTATCGCGCTTCCGTATCGTGTTGTTTAACATGTGGAGGAAGTATTCTGCATTTTTTTTTCCATCACCTTGAAGTATAGCATTTTTGAACACACATTCTACAGCCGCTCGATGCGACATTCAGAGGTCGGATTACCAATCGTGCGAAAGGATCTTTAGGGGGTTCGGGGGTAGGGTTTCCGGAAGGTTCGGAAAGCATGCCGTACTTTTTGGGCGCGCGCGCACGCGGTTCTTGACGGTTTGGAGGTGGTACTCGGCTAGCTCAGCTCTGCTAGCTTGCACACTGAAGCCCGAGCTGTGCAGGCTTGCAGAGCCCGCCTGCTCGTATGTTCAGTGGAGTATGTTCCTGCGCGCACAGGGGACTCATGGTGTGTAGGGGAGGAGAAGAATGCTGCTAGAAAAACATGTCAGGACCGCCGAAAGCAATCAATTAGTCTACAATGTAGACTGTTGTCGGGGGCACCGATTTGTATGTGCGCGCTACCGGGCTGCCGGCCGTTCGGTAGGGCGTGTACTGCTGCTGTACGAAGAGCGAGTGGAATATCTAGCTGAGTCTAGGTGCTGTAGGTCTAGGCCTTTGCACAGCTTCGAGATGACCGGAACCGCTTTCTGCGCTGGCTGTACACGAAAGAAACAACCGATTGCCCCGCAACGCTAGAGGTAGGCGCATCAGCATCCAGATCTGCCGCTGCCATCTGCTTCCAGATTGATAGCTTGCCAACGTCCAACCAGGCACAACACTGCACAACAACCCCATACGACGTCTGAAGAAGCATGTTTCCCCCAATCCCCCACAGCCACCCTATAAGGCGTCGAAAGCCTACCCATTTCCGGCTCAGGCTACACCTAAACAAGGTAT